ATAAACAACAATTAAGTCAAGCAACTTTGCTTGCACAAAGCAAAACAATGATAATAGAACATGTTTAACTTACTTAAATAAATGATAATTGAATATTTTAAATGATCCGAAAACGGCTGAAATTTTAAAATACCTAGCTTCCAATAATTGTAGTAAGAAACTTTTCCATACTAAAACTGCTACTGGCACAGTAAATGATCAGAAACTATAAAAATTATACAAAATTTTGTAGAAAGACTTAATGTACTTGTTGTTCCAAGTAATCAACAATCTTAATTTATTCAAACAGTGTTCCACTTTCGCTTCAGTTAGTCTAAATTTGGAAACTGCTGTTAATACATCAGGTGACATTAAAACAACTAAATTAGCTACTCAGATCTGAAATAAAGATCGTAAAGTAAAAAAAGAAAATTGATAAAAAACAACAGCAATAACAAAATTTTATGAATGAAAGTGAAAAACGTTCAAAAATAAATAATTTGATAAAATGAAAAGAATATGCAAACAACTCACTGTAGTTGTCCCTGTTACAAGAAATAAAACTGCTAGCGATAAATTTAATGAAACCCTAAAAAAAGTCAAATAATCAGCAAGAAAAAAAAAACTGACAACATACCGCTGATACGCGGTTGCCTACAGTAGTATTAAAAGATTACAGCCAACGGTTACAGTAGACTTAAAGTTCAAGAGCCAAAATTATTTTAGTTTGTCATCTCTTAAAAATTATTAAAATTTAAGAAAATCCATTTTTTATCCTTTTTTTAAAAAAAATATTACCGAAACAAGATTCTAAGCCGCGCCCCCATACGGATAAGGCGGGTCAAAGTCAATTCAAGGCTTCTAAAACAATTTCAAAAGCTACCTCAAACAAATTTTGCTGACAACAAAAGGGCGTTCCCTTTCGGTCATACATAACAAACCCGTCTCATCACTGGTTCGCTAATAATCGTTCGAAAAATTTCTTGTCTTTTCTCGCTATAGACACTTTCTCGACCAACCAGCCTTATATTTTCTCACTTCTTTTATTCTAGCTAAAATCATTTCCGCAGTTTCTGAATCCCTTTTCATCTTTGAAACAAATAACTGAACATCCTGTGTAGCGGACATAGTTTTCTCTGTAAGCTGTTAATTCGTTGCTTTGTGGCTGATAATTTTTGTTTTTATAACTTTGCAACTGTTCAGTCCCGCTTTCAATCCAAACAATAAAAAAGTAAAGACGTCGACCAATTCCACCGCAAACTACATATATATATATA